TTTTTAGTCAAGATGGATCAGACAAAAAACAAACCCAAACCCACAATGCTCCTCTTGTAAACCAAGCTAAAAAACTTCACGGCATCTCTTAACCCTATGCAAATAGAAGACAATCTTTCACCTCCTGGTGTCATAATCCAAAGTCAATCCATTGGGCCACCCTAGGTCAGTGTTAATCAGGATTTTACGTTCAGAGCCATCCAAGTTTGCCCGTTCAATTTTAGCAATGTGACCCCAATCTGTCCAGAAGAGATACCTGAAGAGAGAAAATACGAGTGTAAGAAGAAAAGACCATTTTATTTAGCCTAAGGGAAATTTTAGCTATGAATTAAACTGCCATTAACTGATTCTTTGCTTCAAGAAAGGTCATGTGGCCTGTAGCCTGCTTTTTCCAGCTACCTGCCCAACCTTCAAACTCACTGTTTGATTACATCTTGCTGACATCTGTCACTCAGAGCCAGCCCCTTGCTGGTACCTGCAGATCCACAACAGCAAATCTCTCCTTCCTCCCACAACCCTCTCTTCAAACTGTCTCTGCACAGCCCTTCTCCCTGCCCCACCAATACCTACCCCTTCTTGGGAAAGACAGCAATGGCTCGGGGCTCATCCAGGCTGTTATTAATCAGCACTTTCCTGGAGCTTCCATCCAGTCTAGCTACTTCTATGGTATTGCGTCCTGTGTCTGTCCAGTAGAGGTTCCTGGCAACCCAGTCCACTGCCAGGCCGTCTGTAGTCTTCAGACCCTGGCCAATAACAGTTTCCATGTTGCTGCCATTCAGATCAGACCGCCTGGATGGAAATCAATGACAAATGGCAGTGAGGAATGGGTACCTCCCACACCTCCGTGTGTGATCCCCATCAACCACAGGGTCACTTCATACTGCTACCTCCCAAACACCTTTTTCCCCCATAGTCTCCAGCATGTTAAACACACCTGCAGCATTTAGTTCAGCCTATGTGTACACAGGCTGATACACACGATGCTGTGTACCAAAGTCAAGGTGTAAGCAATGCTGTACTGCCAGCATCTCAGTCTCCCCAGCTTACTGGCACATTCCACAGCTTACTGTGGCACAACCAGCACAAGCAGCTGGGTAACCTGGGCACAGGCCAAGCAGATGACTGGCACCCACCTGATGACATCAAGAAAGACATCTGTGTAGTAAATCTTGCCATCCACGCTATCATAGTCCAGAGAAATGACGTTGTTCAGCTCAGGGACAGGGATGTGCACATCTGTGTGGTCACTGGTATCCAGAGAGATGCGACGGATGGAAGCACGGCTGGAGAAAAGTAGGTAGGTCTCTGGAGAAGAGTCACACGTCTGCTCATCTCTCTTCAGCTGGATGCCAGTGGGGCAAGCACAGGAGAAGCCAGTGGGGTGAGGCAAGCAAAGGTGGGAGCAGCCACCATTACGAACTCCACATTTATTGAAGCCTTTAGAAAAACAGGGAAAGCACAGTTTAAGGATCCCACAGAGCAAAGGTTTATTTTAAAGGCTACATACATGCACAACTTGCCAGTAGCTGAGTTCATCCTAACCATCCCAGCCTCGCTACAGCCCTTCATACAGAGACTGCCTCCTCTGAGATTCGTATGGGCATGGTTGGGCAAGGTGAACAGGAACGCATAGAAGGGGGAGCATTAGGAGCAAAACCTGCATTCCCTGCTAATCAGAGTTTTCCCATGGAAAAAGGAACAACCAAATGCTGATAGATTCACCCAACCGCAGTTTAGCTTTATTATTGCTGCAAATGGTAATGCTGACAAAGATCCAACCCTGTGGGGAAGCAGCGTGACAATGCACTAGAGGCCAGGCTGACAAAGAAGCTTCTGTTTCAACTTAGCTCACACAGTGGCAAGTAAACAAAGGCATCAGAGAAGCCTGCTCAAAGTGCCTGACATATTAGGGTCATATCTTCTTCTTTTTAATTGAAACCCCCCCGCATCTATTAACTAGGAGGGGATAAGCCCAGAAGACAGGTGCAGCGAGTGGGAAGAAGACAACAGGGACATGATGGCTTGAGTTTTGGTTAGCTTTAAGTTATATTTGGTTATATTTAAGTTATATTGTAAAGTTATACTGTCAAGGGTGATGTTCTACTGTAACCAGCCACAGGAGAAGCAGCACAGTTTTCTGTAGAAGTATGCATTGGGCAAATTCCAGCAAAATGAAGCCACAGCACGAAGCAACTCCCACTGATGAGCAAGGAGGCAAGATGGGGTCGTATAGGATCCCCAAAGAGTAACATAAGGAATCTGACTCTGGCACAGAATAATTGGAGAGCGTAATATATTAAGAACAAGTAAAGAATCAAAGATTTTGTAGAGGGAAGTGGCAGACAGGAAGATGAAACCTGCAATGGTTGGGAAAAAATGACTAGAACTTGAAACCAGGTTTCAGCAACCAGCTTCAGAGGAATTTGTGCCTTTTGGAGTTAAGAAAGGGAAACTGTCCAATGCCAGTAAATGCTGATGAAGCCTAACAGGGCATGACTCATTCAGTCCTCCTAAGAAAGAGGCTCTGCTGTCTGTGAAAATGAGGTTGTCAGTGCAACCCAGTGAAGGAAATGGGATGAAGGGGGTCAAAAGGCAAGCAGTAATAAACAAATGTCAGACCTATGGGGCTGGATAAACAGGGAGAAGTGCAAAAATAGTTATACAAGAGGAAAGAAGAGAAGAAAGCCTGATTTTTGAGAAGTTACTCTATCCCTCATGCTTCACACCAAAAAACTCTCTTCAGTGACAACTCTGAAGGGCTGCCCTAGTTACCACAGACACCCACCGGTTTGGGAGCAGCCAAGCAACTCACCCAGGGGCCGTGCCTTATCGACAGCTTGAATGTCCATGAGGCCAGGCAGGTTTGCCCTCACCAAGATGACATTGGCACCAGTGTCCTTGTCAGCCCTGTGAATGCTGCGGGTTTGCCAGTCAGTCCAGTAGATGTAAGAGTCCAGCAAGGTGAGGCCATAGGGATGTTGCACTGGGGACAGCAGCGTGTGCCGGTTTGCACCATTGAGATCTGCAGCCTCAATCCGCTAGAGAAAGAAGTAAAACACCAGCCCCATAATCAAAACACTGATCTTCCTGATAGCAGTTACTATACCAAGTGGGAAACTCAAGTCCACCCTCCCCATACACTCAGAAAAGCTTATGTTCCCCTTGCTCTTTTGACAGCTTGCTCAAGAGCTTTAAAACAGCCTCCAGGCTACCAAAGACCCAACAACAAACCCTGCTGAAAAACAGAATCGGACCTCAGTGTGTGCATCAGCCCAGAGCAGCTGGGATCCAGCCTTATCCACTGCCAGTCCGTTAGGCCAGCCCAGGTTGTTGCTGATCAACACCACACGTCCAGAGCCATCCATTCCAGAGCGTTCCAGCTTGGCATTCTCACCCCAGTCTGTCCAGTACATATACCTGGGGAAAAGGCAGCAATTATTATGGAAACAGAGGTCAGAAGTCCTGTTCTAACCCCTAGATAACCTCTTGACAACACTGACCCCATCTCATGGTACAAAGCTATTGCCCGAGGGCTGTCCAGGTTCTGCCAGACCAAGACTTTCCTCATGGAGCCGTCAAGGTTGCCCACTTCAATCCGGTTTGTTCCTGTATCTGTCCAATATATCTTCCTGCCAATGGCATCCACAGCCAGCCCATCTGTAGTCAACAGACCTGAGAAAACAAAAAGGCGTATTGGTATCCTCCCAGCTTGGTCAGGAAGTTCTGATATTCCCCTTGTGCACCTCATCAGGCAGTTGCTTTAGCTTTGTTTGCCCTTTCATCCCAAACTTAAAGATTATTATACCAGGGTACCAGAGAACCACTCTTTTCATGCCGCATGGAGGCGAGAGGCTCCAGGTCCAAACTCTCTCTTACCTGTAGTGATGATGTCCTCAAACTGTGAGCCATCTAGGGCAGCCCGGCTGATTTTCCGCAGTGTGCTGTCTGACCAGTAAACCTTGCCTGGGTGGAAGAAGAAAGAATCTTTTAAAAAGCCCACAACAAAACTAAACCCCAACAACCAAACATTAAAACCTTTAAAAAACAGATCCAGGTCTCTGATTTACACCATTACACCATTCAAAACAGATCTGATTGCACAGAAGTAACAGCAGCACAAGACTATTAAGCTAGAGTGATAGCTAGTATTTTCCTATAAGGACTTTCCTTTCCTGTGTACAGTTCTGATGTCCTCAACATAAAAAGGACATGGAGCTGCTGGAACAAGTCCAGAGGAGGCCACGAGGATGATCAGGGGCTGCAGCACCTCCCGTATGAAGACAGGCTGAGAAAGTTGGGGCTGTTCAGCCTGGGGAAGAGAAGCTGCGTGGAGACCTCGGAGCAGCCTTCCAGCATCTGAAGGGGGCCTACAAGGATGCTGGGGAGGGACTCTTCATTAGGGACTCTAGTGGCAGGACAAGGGGTAATGGCTTTAAACTTAAACAGGGGAACTTTAGGTTAGATCTAAGGAAGAAGTTCTTCACAGTGAGGGTGCTGAGGCACTGGAATAAGTTGCCCAAGGAAGTTGTGAATGCTCCAACCCTGGTGGTGTTCAAGGCCAGGCTGGACAGAGCCTTGGGTGACATAGTTTAGTGTGTGGTGTCCCTGCTCATGGCAGGGGGGGTGGGACTAGAGTATCTTAAGGTCCTTTCCAACCCAAACTATTCTATGATTGGAAAGGAGTATCTGTACTAGAAAAAAACGTACACAAATTTACAACCTACAGTAAGATCTGCACCTGGGTCTTTATTCAGGTGTTTAGATATGAAGTCACTTGTTGCCTTTCAAACAGTCAGATACATTAAGAAGTTCAGACCTTCACGAGGATCCACTCCAATTGCAATGGTGTTCTTCATGGTGACATTGACTGAGACAACAACATCTGCAAAGTAGGGAATATCCAGAGACACCATGCGGATGTCAGTCCTTCTGGCAAAGATCAGAAAGCTGGTCATTCCTGCAGAGAGTTGAAAATGGACAGATACCAGTGAGGAACAAGTTCAGTCAACTGCAGGCATCATTTATTGAACGTTCTGGAGGTGACATCCACTTCAGTGGAAAAAGCGAAGTCTCAGGCATATCTCAGCTTATGGGGAGTCTCGGTACAAAAGCTTTACTGAGCGTTACTGAAGGCTTCTTTACATCCAAGTTGAAAATGAACTCACAGAAGAGTTACTTCTGCTAATACAGGTGGGAAATGGGAATCAGGAGTCACTTTTTCCCTGCTAAGCAGAAAAAGTAGATATACCATGGCCTGAAGCCAAGTGCCTTCCTCAAAAGAGGATCCATGGCAGGAATGTGTACAGATCTATTAAAGAATGTAGCACCTTGTAGTTATAAAAGAATCCACCTAAAGATTGAGACAGAAGTATGGGGAAAAATGTGACATCTGGTTTATTTATTCTGCAGCAATCCAGGTATCAGTAAGTTTCTTCATAGTAATTCCCACTCACATTGAAGGTACAAGCATCAAATGGGTTTTCAAGGGGTAAAGCAAATAAGCACATAAAAGTGAATTTTGTTCTCTAACAAGACAGGAGCAAAAGGCAGCTGTGATACAAAACTGCAGAGAGAACACTACAGAGAGGACTAACCAGGGGAGCAGGTCTTGCCATCAGATTGCAGGTTGATCCCAGTAGGACAGGTACAGCTGTAACCTTTTGGAAGAGGTGCCAAGAGGCACAGGTGACTGCAGCCTCCATTGCCAACTCCACATGCTGTACGTACTATAGAAAGAGGATGAGAAATCCGTAAGCCAGGAGCACAAGCACAAAAAAGGGGTGTAACATCTACAGAAACACATTCTAGAATGCCCTTAAATACCAAGCCAAGAGTTATTCTCATGCTCTCATATTCCACCCAGAGACTTAAGGCATTGAGGGCTCCTTGCAGGAGAGCTGTGCCATATACCAGAGCCTGAGCAAGCTCTGAGCACAGTGTGGCTTGGGGCGAGCTCTGTACCTGGTGGCCTGTGCCGGTGGAAAACATGAATATCCATAAGATTCTCCAGATTGTCCTGCAGCGTTTCCCGAGCCTGCCCAGTCCTTCTATCTGCGCTCTGGATGCTTTTGGCCTGCCAGTCTGTCCAGTAGATTCTCTCGCCATAAAGAGTAAGTCCAAAGGGGTGAGGCAGATTGCTCCCAATCAGCACCTGGTCAGATTACCCCCAGCCCCCCAGAAAAACATTACTAAGAAGTCACTAAGGGGAAAGAGGCTTCCCTTGCCCCCTCTCAACATCATAATGCACAGTCACAGCAAAATGAGAGTGATGGGGCAATGTTAGCCCTGAAAAGGAGGTTCCCCTCAAACACAGTTTGCACTGGGAGCTCTTCTCTCCCAGTGAAAGCAGCTCAGTGTGTCTTGATTTGGAGATTTCACTTTCAACTGGAAAAAGAGGCAGGGGCCATCAGCACTCTGTGCTCTAGGACTTACACCTCAGGCTCCCAGACACCCTCCTCAGAAATGGCTTCCTTACCTTCCTGTTGCTTCCATCCAGACTGGCATACTCGATGGTCTTCATGCCTGCGTCTGCCCAGTACAAGCGCTGTGACTCGTAGTCAATGGCCAGGCCGTTAGGCCACGTCAGGTTGGAGGAAATGATGACCAGGCGGTTTGAGGCATCCATACCAGCACGCTCAATCTTGGGGCTGGCTCCCCAGTCAGTCCAGTACATGAACCTGCACACAAGCCCAGACAGAAATGAATGCCCACACTCCTTCAGTGCCACTACAGCCGGGCAGTGTTAAAGAAGCAAGAGAGCCTGGTGCCTTCAGGCCCTAGCAGGAAGCAGCCTTAGATTAACACTGTACTCATATTCAGCCTTGGGTTCTTGTACCCAAGAATCATACTCAAATATATATACCTTCTACTGCCTGTGGGCTGGCCTAATTACAACACAGAGGAAAAAGTTCAAGATAATAGTTCAAGATCTAAAACTTAACCAATTATTTACCAGTCTCCACTACTGGCCCTTTATACTCTTGCTACATTGCTGCATCTTCCAGTAACCCACTCAAGGTAAGAATAGTACGCCTTTATTCAAGACCTTCAACGTTTCTAAAGCAATGGCTGGAAAGCTTTTTCCTATTCACACTATCCCCAGCTTCACAAGGTCTTATGTTTCAGAAGCAAAATCTGTTATTGAAACCATCAGTTTCTGTTACTCTAGTCAGGTTTGCTGTCCATGGCACAGCTGATCCCTCAGTACGCTGAAACAGTGTTTTGAAGCCAAGAGGTCACTACTGTGCTTGAGATCAGCAGTAATTTACCTGAGGAGATCCTTCTGACTGAATTCTGGTTGATAAGTAGACAGCTTGAATACAAATCCAGCATAGATGTAAATAAAGAAATAGAAAAGATCTATATAGACTCATTGTCAACAGGTTTTGTACCAAATCTTTAGTTATTACATCCTCATAATAAACAAATGAAAACTCCAGCCAACTCCTGCAAGCTCTACAGCACAACAGGCAATTATCCCTGCTTATCTTGTTCCACTAGCATCCAAAATCAGGTCTCCAATTTCAGTCTCTGGCAGGACGTAGAACAGCGGCACCACAGAAAGACAACTGCACAAAACCAAGGAACCTGAACTTCTTTAGACATGCAAGAATTGCCATATCATTCCAGAAGAAACAATCTCTCACCCTCCAACAGGATCCACCACGATATCTCTTGGCCTGTCTAGGTTCTCCCATATCAGAACAGTTCTCATGGTCCCATCCGTGTTGGAGACTTCTATCCGATCTGTTCCTACAAAAGTCCAGAGAGAGACTAAGAGATCAAAGTTCTTGTGATTCCAGAGATCTAAGGCAAAAAACATCCACATAACAATGCATTATTCTTCTCCATCCATCTGTACATAGCTGGAAGATAGGTAAGAAACACGGCTCACTGTCACCTGCCATGAGATCTCTCAAGTCACCTCTGTGGCTGTCACTGATGCAGAGACCTGTATGAATGTAAACTAGCTCTTTCCTAAGCCCCAAGGTATCTACATGGGCATGAGAGAACAGCTAGAAAAGAACTGCCTCCCTTACATCTATCTGAACCATGACTCTCTGTCAGGGAACATCGCCAAATACTACCTGCTGCACCCTGGGATACACTGTTGGAAGACAAATAAATGCACAGAATCACAAGCTCTGCAGCAAGACAACAGTCTTGTTGCTTGACTTCTACTATAAAGCCTTCTACAGAACTAGTACTGGCGATACTGCAAAGAGAATTAAACTAAGGATTCCACCTCAACTTGCACTTTGTTAGAAGCACACAAGATGAAACTCCATTTTTTGCTAGACAGAAACAAACAAATTTTGAATGAGACAGAACTACCCAGCTGATTTTCAGTTTTCATCGCTTATAAGGAAGACAGAAGCCCAAGTAAAGCAGAGGATCCCAGTACCTGCATCAGTCCAGTACAGCTTGTTGGTGACCCAGTCTATTGCTAGTCCAGCTGGACTTTCCAGGCTGGTGTCCACTACAACCTAAACAAAAATACGTAAGATAAAGTTCTTAGTGAGATTAGACCTTAGGGAGTAAGCACTTGCCAAATCTATTACCAATTCACTAACAATGCTAACTTCCAAAAGGCAAAAGCCCAAGCAGTGCAATGCCATACAAGAGAGAGTATTAAGGACTCAGAAGTTCAAATTAGTCTTACATTTGAAGAAATATCTATTTTTCATGTCTGTTCAAACTCCAGCTCCAAACTTTCAAACTCTGCTCCCCTGTGGCAACATTAGCCTAAGGACATGTGCAAAAAAGCGCTCCCAAAGAGCGTGGCTTTTGTTCCAAATGTAGGACATAACAGAGGATTAATACTTCTTCCTTTCAGATTTTAGGGCTATAACAAAGGAACTGAGCACAGCTCACAAATCAACATGCTTTGTGCCCCAATTCAAGGTTTGCCATACCAGGAACATGCACCAAACCTGGTTCATGAAGTGTTCAGTGACCTCAGGGCTCTTCTGAGTCAGAACTAGGCAAACTAATGAAGCTCCTTAGAAGGCCAGTGTATCCAAGTGCCTTCAAATCTGATGCTCAAGGACTTTCCTGGCTAGATGACCTCCACATGTAGCTAACACTGTACCTCCTGGCTTGATCCATCCCATTTTGCTCTGCTGATTGAGTCGGTGCTAACGTCTGTCCAGTAGACATAGTCATCCTTTGAGTCCCAGTCTAGAGCCACAGCGCTGCGAACATCAGCAAGGGGAATGACATCATCTGACAGGTCATCTGTGTCAAAGCTGATCCGACGGATGTCCATCCTTCGGGCAAAAAGCAGGAACTTGTCAAGACCTGATCAAAGGTCGAAAGGTCTTCTTTTAATTTCTCTAAGTTCAACAACACAGTGATAGACACAGACAATTCCCTGCTATAGCCAACTTTAACCACTTCCATCATGTCTCACTGGGAGGTCACAGCCCAGGATTTTACTGGTAGCAAAACATCACTGCGGGGGATAGGTGGGCAAGGGTAGGGATAGAGTAGTAGGGAGCTGTTTCCTGGGGGTAGCCTATGCTGGGGGAACAAAGTTAACCAAGGAATGGCACAGACCTCCCTCCAAATCAAATAGCTATTTGAGAATAGCTCATGAGAAGCCAGGAGACAGTTGGCCTAATTCTTCCACATGGTTGCAAACTGTGAGAAACTGTGGCAATTAACAGGACTGAATTTTTTGTTCATCACTGACACAGCTCCCATGGGCATTTTAGGGAAACAATCAGCTGTGACAGGCAGCATGGCACCAATAGCAGCCCTGACATAAGGATGCAAAGATGGAGTTTCTCTGTATTGCCACCCATCAAGCCTAGTGAGGGCTTGCAGAACAGGAGAATGCATCAAGAAGATGAAGCATCCTCTGGCGGGACCCTTAATGCTACTAACTCAATCTATGCAGCTGCATCTCCTTGGAAACAACTTGATGCTGCTTACAACCCTTTCCGACCCTCTGCCACCCACTGAACACCCGAGCATGCAGGCTGTGGTCCCACCTCACTTACTCTGGGCGCAGGCATGGCTGCTGGTCTTGCGGAAGCCCGTGGGGCAGGCGCAGGTGTAATCCTTGCTGCTCGGCAGGCAGAGGTGAGTACAGCCCCCGTTGTTGGCCCCACAACGGTTTCTCCCTGCTCAAGTAGCCAAAGACAAAAACAACCACGCATAAAGCAAAGAGTAAAGAGTACAAACACCAGCCGAGGTGGCAAGACCCATGTGGATAAGGTCATTTGTCTACCCAGAAGTTAACTGAGATTAAGGAAACATAATAAACTAAAGCACTAACTCCATTTGTAGGGCTCAACTTTAAAATAAAGCATTTAATACAATTCACTTCTAGATTATGGCAACTGAAGAGGAATAAGGGAGGTATCAGTCATTAATAGTGCCCACTTGCCATTTCTTCCCCCTCCCAAAATACTTCTTGGATTACCAGGCCACAAGTATTTGTTACTGAAAAGCCTTCACTCCCATGTGGCAGCAGAGGGAGCTGTGGTAACACCTAACACCAGGTTACCGGGGTGAAGGACCTCAACTGAACTACCAGATAGAGCTAGTTCTGCACCGAGCCTGAACAGAAGTGGTGGCTGAATCGATATGCTGGATTCAGGCTTGCCATCTCCCTGTTTTACAGGGTAGTGGGTGGCAGCAGGTCTCCCAGTAGCTCAAATGGGTCTCTACCTTCTCTGCAGTTACCTGCTGGCTGGCGCTGAGGATGCAGCGTGTGGATGTCCATAGGGAAGTGCAGTTTGTTGCGGATGATCTCCTGGTTCTTGCCTGTGAATTTGTTGGCACTGTTGATGCTCTTGGTGTGCCAGTCTGTCCAGTACAAACTGTCCTCAAACACAGTGATAGCAAATGGGTGCGGGAGGCCTGTAACAGACATCCAGTACAGGGATATAATCAGGTCCAATAGGGCTCAGGTTAGCAGGGAGATGAGGGAATGCTCTTTCCTCTGCTCCTTGGGCCTTGCTACAGTCAACCTGCTCAAACCCACCTTACATTAACATAGCAAACAACTTCTCTCTCCTGTCCAAAGACTAGGCAGCAAATCCCATCCCCCAGTAGGGACAGAATTCACGCCACAGTGAAAGGAGACAAGTAAAGAAGCAAAAGCCAGTGGCTAAAACTGAGTAGCACCGTGCTACTGTGTCTTCTTCACTACAGAGAGTAGTTCCTGTACAAAGCCCTGTTACTTACCTTGGCTAATAACAGCCTTTCTGTTCCGCCCATCAAGGTCAGCCCTCTCAATGACATGATGCTTGGCATCCACCCAGTACATCCGATGTCCTGCATAGTCAATGGTTAGCCCATTGGGCCAGAAGAGGTGTGTATCCGCAATGATGCGCCGATTAGAGCCATCCATGTTGGAATACTCAATGCGGGGAGTGTTGCCCCAGTCGGTCCAGTAGATAGTGCTGGAAGAGGCAGGGGGCGACAGGCTAGAAAACTCATGTCCCACCTACTGCACCCAGCACCACTCCCTGTCAGGGCAAAACAGTATCACTCCTGTGACCTCGAGCACCTGGGTCACAGCCATGGGAGAAGTGTCAGCCACAAGGTAACACCCAACGCTTTCAGGCTGGTGAAACCTGAAGGGCCCAGAATAGGATTAAGGCTCTGAAGGCTCCAGAATTTTCAGGTTCTCCCAACAGGCAGTACCAAGTGAAGGCTTGTGCCCAGAGGCAGCCTTTGTGACCAGAGATGGGGTTTTCAGTGTTCAGCTGGAAGCACCTGCATGGACAGCTCACTGGGGTCCTATGCTTTCACTCACCCCTCCATGGGATGTAGGGCAATTGCTCGGGGCTTCTCCAGGTTCTGCCACAATAGCACTTTCCTGTGAGTCCCATCCAAGTTTGCTACTTCAATTCGAGATGTCCCAGAGTCTGTCCAGTATAATTTGTCATGGATCCAGTCAATAGCAAGCCCACCTAACTCCAGGGGAGAATTAAGCACAGAATGAAACCAGGAGCAGGATTTGCTCAGAATAGTTCCCTTTCCCTCTCAGCTTCATAAGAGGCTCAGTTCAATCCTCCTGTCCCCCATCAGCCAAAATTAACTTCAGGGGGACACTGATCCCACCCCCACTGCATCCAACTCCTCCCCTTGCTCAAGGAGATGTATTCCAGTTTGAATGCTGGGTACCCACTTTCATCTGTCCACCCACCTCTATTCTCACATCATGCTCAGTCCCCAGGCTTTTGCCTTTTCTTGTGGTGACGCACCTGGGCTCTCCAGCCCTGTGGAAACCACCTCCTCCACATTGCTACCATTCAGATTGGCCCTCATGATGCGATCCAGAGTGACATCAGACCAGAACACCAGCTCTTTGCTGTGGTGGAAGTCAAGAGCGATGGCATTTTCCAGGTTGTTCAGGAGCAGTGTATACTCTGAGCGATGAGGCAACACTTGTCGGATGTCAATTCGATTGGCAAAGAGCAGCACTGGCTCTGGCCCTGAGAATACATGGCAAGACAGCATTAGAGTACTTGTACAGGGTTCTGCCTCGCATTCCCTCTGCACCGAGTCCCAGAACTTAGTTTTGCAGTACTGGCAGCAAGAAATCAGCTCCCAAAATCCAAAACACTTCAGAGAGATGCTTTCCCATCCTCAATACACAGTCCTAACTCCAAGATGAGCAGTCTTAAACCTTTTGGCAAACATTCACTCCGCAAGAAGCGATCATTCCCACCTCACCGCAGCCTCTGAAACCATACCACTAAGCAGCCACCTGGCAGCTGGTTTATAGTTTCCTTTTCCTGTACCTATCACCTATCACACATGCTTTACCACATCTTCTACCACAGACAAGACACAGTTAAAATCTGCCTCAGCCAGATATAAACTCAGCAGGTGCTTCCACTGCAGAGGGAAAAAACTCAAAACAGCCACACAACCACAAGAACCCAGTATCAACACCCTCCAAGGAGGACATGGACCTGTTGGCCACAAAAATGATCAGAGGGCTCTGGAGCACCTCTTGTATGGAGCCAGGCTGAGAGAGCTGGGAGAAGCTCTCAGTTCAGGCTGGAGAAGAGAAGGCTCCTTAAGGGGAGACCTTAGAGCAGCTCCAGTGCCTAAAGGGGCTCCAAGAAATCTGGAGAGGGACTTTGGACAAGGGCCTGTAGGGACAGAACCAAGGGGAATGGCTTTAAACTAACAGAGGGGAGATTGAGATTAGACATTAGTAAGAAGTTCTCCCCTGTGAGGGTGCTGAGGTGCTGGCACAGGGTGCCCAGAGCAGCTGTGGCTGCCCCATCCCTGGCAGTGTTCAAAGCCAGGTAGGACACAGGGGCTTGGAGCAACCTGCTCTGGTGGAAGGTGATTTTTCTTTCATTAGGGGAATTCATAACGAAATTTTAATTCTTTAAATGGAATTTCTAATTTCTCAGCCTCTACATTTAGAGGAGCTGAGGAATAAAGTTAAACAAGTGTACAAATGCCCTTAAAACCAGCAGATGTCCATTCAGCAGCCACTCACAGCAGTCAGGACTGGTACCAGCATCAAGGGTCAAACCACAAGGGGGGGTGATTCAACCTCACTCACTAGAAAGGTTAAGACATTTCTTGAACAGAGACAGAGGCAGGAGGCTGGTTTTGTCCCAGGATCTGGGTCACCAAGAATGACAAGGCACTAGGAAAAGGCAGCAAGAGCTGTCCTGCTGGCAGGAAAAAAGCATCTTTCCTTGGTCAAAATCACACAGAGTTTTCACAGACATTCGCCAACAACTTGGGCATATTTAAACACAAAGCCAGGTACTTCCTTATCCTCACATGTTGGCTTGGTGAACAGCATAAGGCTGGCAGTGAAACATCAGAGATGAAATTATGAGAGCAGGACCAACACACGCCCCAGAATAAGGTGAAACTCCTCTTTACCTAGAGCTTTGCAGCTACGCTTGTCAGGTCGCAGCTCGTAGCCTTGCTCACACCAACACTGGAAGCCTCCTTCACTGTTGGTACAGCCTTGGCTGCAGTAACCTTCCTCAGCACATTCATTCACATCTGCATGTTACAGACAAAGACAGAAAGTTACCACTGGATCATCAACAAGCCGGGCAATGTCGCCAATGGGTTGCTTCTGCTTTCATGCTCTGATTTGCACCCTATCATAACCATCACCTTCAAGCACATCAAAGCAGCAGGGAGGAGGCTACTGCTCCAAAACCCACCTTGGCATGATCGGCCATCTTCCAGGAGCCTGTAACCCGTGTGGCAGGTGCACTGCACCATCCCTCGCACCATCTGGCACTTCTGAGCACAGCCACCGTTGTTGACGTTGCAGTTCTCCTCCCCTGTTCGTGGACCTGTGAAAGGAAGAGGTGAAGATAACTGAGCTGAAACCACAAGGCAGCTCATGTCCTCCACTGTTAGGCAGCAGTCGCCCTTCAGAACAGGCTGAGCAAGAGTGGGAAGACACAGGCTGTGCTGGAAGCTGCCTCTTTGCAGTCAGAACTCTCCCCTGCACGCCACCGCTAAAGGGGACAAACAACAAAGACAAACTTTGATATCCAAGATCATAATCTTCTCCCCATTATTCCTTGTCTACAGCATGTAATTGGCAAAACCACCAAGGCCTTATTCCCCAGTCTTCATCTCTCTCCCATTATCACAGCCCAGGCTTTCTTCCTTACACATATCCTTCAGCAGCACCCGACAGACTCCCACACATCACACTGCCTCCATTCACATTTAAGGCTGCACTGGGAGGACTCACGGCAGTTCTGATGTGGGCTCTCATCACTGCCATCTCCACAATCATTTGCTCCATTGCACAGCTTCCTCTGGCCAATGCAACGCCCGTTTCCACACAGGAACTGGTCTGGGGCACACTGAGGGGTCCCTGCAATAGAAGAAGAGGCAAGTGAGCACACCACAGTTTACCCATAGAACAGTCATAACGAAGAAAAGAGTACAGAATATTTTCTAAGACTTAATAAAACCTCTATCCATGGCCTTCTCTTTCCTTGATTTCAGCTCATCTTGTAATCCTTACTACTCATTTATGCTGATTTGGAGGCCTGCAAACTCTCCTCCAGACTGACTCTAATGTTGCTTTACTGGGAAGTTCAGCTATTTAGTTTCTCTCAGAATGACTGGAAGGTTCTGGCTTTGCTTCCAGATTCCATAACCTGACTCAGTATGTGCAAGAGAGGAGTCAGTTCCTCACTTTAATCATCTGATATGTCACCCAGCATGGCTACGGATCTTAAATCTGCCTCGGAATGAGCGTCTTGTCCAGCCCTAACTGCACCGTGATGGACTTGGAATGAGATTCACACGCATCCTTGAAATCTGAGCTCAGGCAACAGGATTTCACACATAAGCTACACTCTTCTGCTGTTGGCAGGGAGACTCTACAGAATTCTTGTAAGTAAAGTAATACTGCTTGGAGGGACTTTGCCAATACGATTGTTTTTCCAGCAGTAACTGCACTGTCCTGTTGCCTCTTACTTCTTGTACCTCTTAAGATGACTCAGTTAAAGGTTTCCAAATCATACTCTCTGATAATCCCAGGAAGACAATAGGACAATAGAGTTATCATCAAAGAAACAATTAGATTGGCAAACTGCCTGTAAGCAGCATGGAAAAGGGCAGTTGTGAGATTAACAAGTACAAATAAGCACTAACAGACACACCAACAGGGAACATAAACCCAAATCATATGCAGATTAACTATTCAGAGCACAGGAATGTTTTATGTGAAGGATTCTGAAACTTGGACTACATTTGTCATATCAAATATAACGATCCTAACATCAGCTGATCTCTTAGTATTCTAGAAATCTCTCTGTGGCCAATAAAAACACAATTCTGCTCTAAATCCAAGAGGTGACACAGTATTTTAACTCTTCCTACAGACATGGAGACAGCACACTATTTCACTTAGACTACCCAGTGCACATCCTGCTTGGAAGCCCCAAGTTAATTTTTACCTGCTGACTACCACCATAGACCTAATGCAGAATTGCACAACTGACCTTACAGTAACTATAGCTGTAATCAACCACCTCAGGTTTGGGTAGGGGTAGAGAGGTTGAATTTCAGTGCCTCTGGAAGTCTGCCTTGGCTTCTGGGTGGCAAATGTTCTCTCAGTCCCTCTAAATACTTTTGTTATCAGGATGAAGAAAAGGGGTTACTTACTTGTCTTGAAGTAAAATTGCTTTTTCCAGGATCACAACCATCTCCTGCACACTGGTGCTCATGACAGCTGACCAGTCTAGAGCAGCTGCTCTCAAATGCCTACAAAGTGTGTCTCTCCAGGTCCTCTAGCAGTTTTCCTTGTAGAACACCCACTCTCCCCTCCTCAACAGGCCCAAACAAGGGGTACAGTTTCACACATTCCTTAACACTCAGGTCTGATGAAACCCTCCTCTTCTCCATAACCAATATTATCATGGAATGAATCATACAATAGCTAGGGTTAGAATGGACCTTAAAGCTCATCCAGTTCCAACCCTCCCTGTCACGGGCAGGGACCCTTCCCACTAGACCAGGTTGCTCCAAGCCCTGTCCAACCTGGCCTTGATAATTCAACCTGGCCTTTTATTATATAAACCTTTTACTATATAAAGCAATGGCTGTATGCAAAAAGGAAGACTAGAAAAGGAAGACTCCTGAGCAAGTATTTAAGGAGGAAGCTGACCACCCTTAATGTCTAAAACAGAGACTTTATCCTTCACTTCCACAAAACGCTCTTCTTGATTCCACTGCCTTCTAGAATTGCTTGGCAGTTTCACAGGGCAACACGAAAGCCATCCAGAGCTATGTACAACACATGAGTTAAACATAGTCCATTTGACGAAGTTAGCAACTTTGCACACTATTAATGTTTCCAAGTCTGAATGGAATCATCTCTGTGGTAATTCACAGCGTAGGGACAGGACAGGAAGGTACAGGGACCAGATACTTGACCAGAAAACACCATCACTTCAGTTTAAGCATACAGAACTGAACCTGTTTGCAAGCATATAAGACAGCCTATAGATCTCATTCTTCACAAAGGATGGAAACTCTAGGCTGAACTCAGTGAAGCAATCAAAAGAAGACTTTACTACCTACTATCTCCACGATGGAAACATTAGCTGTAAGTAGCAAGGCAGCAAGCCAAACCTGTGTTCTCACAGTTCTCCTCATCACTGTTGTCAGAGCAGTCATCTTCCCCATCACAGCGCCAGGACAGACGGACACAGCGCCCTGATTTACAGCGGAACTGGTCAGCTGTGCACATAGATGTAGCTGGGGGACCAAAAAAAGAACACTAGATGAGCAAGAAGGATCAGAAGAGACCCAGTTCTAAAGCTAACAGTCCCAAACACTCCTTTGCATCTGCAGAAAACCTGAATGCTCCCACCAGTTCCCAGCACTCACTGCAGTTCCTCTCATCAGACTGGTCATCGCAGTCGAAGTCTCCATCACACCTCCAGCCAGCATTAATGCACAAGCCACTGTTGCACATGAACTCTCCAGAGCGACAAGGCTGGTGAGATGCTGCAGAGATGGGAATGAATATAAAGAGCAAACTAAGACCAGTGTAACATCCCTACAACCCCCAAAGCACTACCCATACACTCCGCTATTGTGGAACTTAGTCCTGAACAGACTCCTCTTGGATACTGCTTTAATTTCTGTACACAGAACTATGTTGACTACGCAGTTCCCACCATTATTCTCACTTTGCAGAGTTAAATACAAAATAAATAATGGAAGAGCCATCTTATACACTTAGATTGCTGTCTACACTGCAACCCCTCTCCAGCCAATGCAGGTTTGCAGCTCAGATGCTTGGACCAGAACATCACCCTGCATTAACTTACAGCAGTCAGATTCATCAGACCAGTCCCCACAGTCATCATCGCCATCACAGTGGTAGATGTCCAAGATGCAGCGTCCATATGCACACTGGAACTCCTCCAAGCTGCAGGTGGCAGCTGGAACATCTGATGCTAAGAAGGGAATCCAAGAAAAAATGCCTGAGGTGGCAAGGCACAATCCAGTTTAGATGCAACCATCTCACAGTCTAATAACACAGCAGCAAGGATTCAGAGGAAAGGTTTTGGGAATTATAGCCATTGCTACATAGCTCTGTGTGACTTGTGTTACTGAGAGGAACTTGAATGCTGTTTGTGCTTCACTGAGAGGCAGGTTAAACCTATATATAAGGACATTCACACAAACAATCGATTAAAAATAATAATAAATAAGAAGGATGCTAGCCTTAAAACACTAACTTTACAAAACCCATTAAGTTCTAGAGAAGGAAACAGCTACGAAGAAGGAAGATTTCATGGGAGAGCAACAAAAAGGATCCAAGAGTGTCACCTCCCACCTTATGCTTGAGACACTATGTCTTAGTGCACTCTAGAAAGTGTCTGAATTGTTTATTGAGCCTGAAAAAAATAGACACAAAACCAGAAGGAAAAAATAAAGATACCCTTTGGGCTATCTTAATATTAAGGATTGAGGCATGTCAGAATTCACGGTTAAAGTCTGGAATGAATCCTTGAAAATTTTAACCAAAATAAGCACTTGAAGACCAAAGGAAGGAGGCAAGAAGCAAGATGTCTAGCTCTGCACCTGACCTTTGAGGATTTCCCCCTCCCTTTCCTCTCAAGCTGTCACCAAAACAAACCATGCCCTATCAGCAAGAAGCAAAGCCAGACAGATGACCCTGGGCAAAGCCCAACAAACTGAGACTCAAGGATTTGCCCCCTGGTCTCTGTTCAACAGTACACTGTGTGGGAAGGGATGAAAAACATTTGAGTCCCACACAGCAGAATCTGACACCTTTTCTCATACTCTCCAGAGAATGAACTGCATGTTTCGGGTATGAGAGTCCTCCAACTGAGGAGCTCTCAAAATAAATCCATTATGCAAAAGGAAAAAGAAAGACTGACATGAACTGCACATGAAGTAGTGGGCACAGCCTGTAGGCATGCAGTAAGAACTTCAGTTCAGTGACTATGGAGTAGCTGGATGCTAAATTGTGTGTTAATGTGCACTTCACCAAAGGAGCCTGAAACAAGTGCTTGGGTCTCCTTGAGAAAATCAAGTCAGTGGCTTACATTCTCATGTAATGTGATTCAATTCTGACACACACCCTCCAAAAGAAACACACGCACATTGAAACAACAAAGCAAAACACGAAACCCATAAAACACACAAAAAAGAACAGTGTAGTCCCATCTTGCCCTAGATGAATGACAGCAGGATTGGAGATAAAGAAAAGATGACAGCCACATGGAGGAAGATAAGAGAAAGGGCGGTAGCCAAACTGAGCTTCTTAGGTGAGTTACATAAAATGCCTCATAGACACAACTGCCAAGCCAGGAGTGGAGAAGCATTGTAGCTCAGAGAAGCAGGGGCACCAGTTCTGGGTGCCTCTCCACTCCCATAGGAAGCAAGGTTGAAACATCTCCTTTCCTTTCCCAAGGGCGTATTCATGGCCTGTGGGGAAGTGACAGGCAGGGGAGAGGAGGGAAAAGAGAGGGAGAGAGGCTGGCTTCCTCTTGGAGCCCTTTCCTGGCTTAGAAACGTTTGCAGCCCCTGGCTCCCTGCCAGCTCTCATTATCTGGAGAGATAAAAGACAAGTCCCCCATGCATCCACTCCCCTGCCCTTGAGGAGCAGGCGGCCCTGAGCCCCCTCCCAAAGCCTTTTGAAGTTTCCTGCTATCTAGAACAAATTCTGCACAACGCCTGTGAGAGCAGCGTGGGGGAAGGGACCACTGCAACTTCACAGGCACAGCAGAGAGGCAGTGGGGGTTAGGAAGGGACATAATAGACTCCCCTGTCCCACTTGCTGCAAGCCTGTGAAAGTGGAGGAGAAAACAACTGTTGTGGGCTCTCAGGGCCCCCCGTTCCCCATCAGTTACTTTTCAGATGCATAAAGCATCGCAGTGAGGAGAGGTTGGTCACGCAGGCTGCCCCTGCAGTGTGCCAGCTGGGGATGTACAGGCCTTGAGGATGCTGTATGTGTCCTCCTAAATTTCAGGCAGGAATCAGGCAAGAGGGAAAAAAAAAGGGAATATTTTTCTCCCCTTCCCCATCGCCCTCCAACTCCTACAGTTTCATACAGAGGTGTATTCAGTAAAGCATAAGCCTCCTGCTCTGACTCAAGGTCACACAGCCATGGGAAGGAATAGAAAAGCAGCCAGGCACAGATGAAGTATGCCTGTGAGGTAACACAAGAGATAAACCATTCTCTTGTGCCCTCTGGGGTAGGCAACAGAAGGCAGCATAGCTGCCAGTACAGGCAGGACTAACTTGTTTTTGATCTCTGTTGCAGAAAACGTGCCAAACCCCAAAGACAGGAGCAGGTCCAAAGGCTATTTCCTGTGGTTACGAAGCAAGGAGAGCACTTACGGCAGTTCTCTTCATCCGACCCATCCTTGCAGTCTGTGTCACCATCACAGAACCAGTGCTCAGCTATGCAGCTTCCATCACTGCAACGGAACTCCTTCTCCGAGCACTTTCTCATATCTGCAGAGACAACAATGCAGACAAAGCCTTGGCTTTTCTCAGAGCAGCCAGGAAACAACCACACCATGCTCCTGAAGCTCCCATGGCACCCACAAACAAGATTGTTTGTTAAACTATACATACCCATGTCATGCAAAACCATCACTGCTCATTTAACTGACATGAACTGGCAGATTCAAAAGGGACTTCACAATGGTATGTCAAGGAGTAACAGAACTCAAGTGATTTCTGCCTGGCAGGTAAGCCACACAGCCTGAGATCCCAAGCAGCCAGCCCTGGGAATGGAATATCCCACAAGTCCAGGCCAGCCAAGCCAGCTGCAAGCCCTCACTATGCTCAGGGGTTCACAGGACAGCACAGGTTGGAATCTGCACTACCCCTCCCAAAGCACTGGCAGGGCAGTATTTGTAGGACCTCATCACTCACCACACTGCTCATCGCTGTTGTCACCACAGTCGTTGTCACCATCGCAGTGCCACAGGCTGCGGATGCAGTATCCGTTCTGACATGAGAACTCATCTTCCTCACACTCCCGCGGAGCTGCAGGGACACAGAGATACAAGGTGAAGACAAGGCAAGAAGATTTACCTTGCAGAACACCAAATCCGTGATGTTACAAATCCAGCAACATCATTCTCCAAGGACGCCACCATGTTGGAGAGCTGATTTCCCTTCCCTTACAACAGCAGGAAAGCCACAGAGAGGTTTCTTGAGTGTCTTCCACTCCATCCACAAGTCAAAAGCACAGCAAGCTCTAACACCTGAGAACGTGGTTTGGAGAAAGTACCTGGCACAGAGCGATGGAGCCACACACCCTGTATTCCAGCATAGCCCCAAGCCAGGCTCAAGAGATCCCTGCACAGAAAAAAGGCAATCCAGGCCTCTTTCTAAAGGAATTATTAGGCTCTATGATTACCTAACAAATAATTGCTCATAGAATTATATCTCCACCTTCTTTTCACAGTGATGCCAAAGCTATCTTCAAAGGAAAGGAAATGTTCACTGGAAAGGAAGAGAGAAAATTTAAACTTCCTCTCCTGAACACCTCAGTATTTGCAGCCTCATTCTATCCTCTTTGCCAGTCTTTTAAGGAAGTTTGTCTGCAGACCAGTGAGGAAAGGAGAGGGACTGCAAAATCAGCATCTGAGGACCTCAGTCGAACAGAGACCCTCCTATGCTTAAGTGCTAGATTGAACAACCCCCTGGGAGTCTCTAATTCACAGAACCTTGCCTTTCTCCTTTCATTAGTTCCCACATCTTTTAATCACACCCTTCTCCACTGTTGTCACAACTATGAGGGCACTCCAACTTCTGAAAGGCAGAAGACCAAACAGACCCAGACCTATATACCTTTCCTTTCACAAAAATCTTTGAACAGACTAGAAAACTGAGCTTAGTCCTGCGATCCAGAGCATCACACACGATCATAGAACAGTTTGGGTTGGAAGGGATCTTAAAGATCACCTAGTTCCAACCCCCTGCCACAGGCAGGGACACCTTCCACTAGACCAGGTTGCTCAAAGCCCCTGTGTCCAACCTGGCCTTGAATACTTCCAGGGACAGATGTCCACCTCCTGACCCCTGCTTCCCAGCCATTTGCTCAAAAGGGCAGGCAAAGATCAGGGCCATAGTGATCAAAAAGTGAATTCATTTCCGCACAAGTACTGGACATGGAATGCTTCACAGCCAAGAGCTTTAATTTCTGCATTTCTTGAGATGCAGTTCCTCCATCAGAGCCACTCTGGAGCACCACACACACAACTGTAGTAGAATTCAAGGGCTGTAGAGTGATTATTAAGCAGCTGCAACCATCTCAACCAGACAGCAGAACAGGTCTACTCCTAACTGCAGCCTGATGCAGCCCTGGTCACCAGCGCACAGCTGAACTCCAGTGCTATATAACACACCAGTTCTCTGGCACGTGCTGCCAAGTATGGACCTGATTTGTTGTGGAGGAAGGTTGTATCCCTGAACACCTTTTGCTAATGGAAATCAATCACGAGTAACCCTTGTCCTCAACACAAAGGGGAAACAAGGGGCTGAACTCCAAAGATTCAGGCAAACTTCCCTCCATCTTAATGGCACAATGGCAGTGCTCACAGCTAGCAGCCTGCTATGGCAGCTCTTGTCAAGATAGGGCTTTGCATGGCAGCACAGTCAGCTTTCAGGGTAACCAGACTTTTGTGTGGAGACCATCCCTATAGCACCTCCCTCTCCTCGGGGACCTCTGTTTGAAGGGAGAGGATGCTGGGGACATCCCAGCAGAGCAGAGAAGTCAGACAGTAGAACCTGAGGCCACAGGAAGTCAGCCAGACAGGCAGTTCAGGAGGATTTGGCAGGGGTTAGGTGTTTCCATGAACAGGGGAGGACATGAAGAGCTCAGGGAAGTGCTTCATGGGACATTAACTAGCAGGGCTGCAGGGCACAAACGGTTCTCCAGCCGGATGGAGAAGCATCCCCTCCTCCAGGACACGTAGCTGAACAGTAAACCAGGTGCCAAGGCAGCAGGGCTTAGGGGCATCAGGTACAGACACCTCCGTTACAGGATATAGCTTATAACAAGCCAAAGGTCTGATTCAGTGGATAAACTCTTGTATTCCTGTATGGAAAAGGGTCAATTTTGCCCAGCCATGGCAGGAGAGCACTGCACCCACCCTCTCCCCTCACAGAGGTGACTTACGGCAGTCCTGTTCATCGGAATCATCCTCACAGTCATTGTCTCCATCACAGACCCACGACCGGCGGATGCACTTCCCGTTGTCACAGTGGAAGTCCAAAGGGGAGCAAGTGGGCAGCACTGCAACAGCAAAGAAACACCTCATGGAGCTGCAGCCAGCTTCCTTCCTGAAAAAGAGTTCCTTCCCTCCTGAGGGAGGAGGGCTACACCTCTTAGGAATGGAAGACAAAGTCATGAGGAAGAGCTGTTCCTCAGATGGGGGCCAGGGCAGGGCTGTAGCTTGGCAGTCTCTGCTCCCCAGAGAAGCACTGACCTTCCCACAATAAAGTAGCCGCCACAATTCCCCCACTGAGTTCCTTTTGTCTCTTTCATCCCTGAGCCTCCTGCCCTCCCATAAGTGCACTTGTTTTAGAACAAGCCAAATTACACTATCAACATCTTTCCTGCATGCTTCCCAGTGAAGTCCATCCTGTTTCTATTACACAGCGAGATCTTTAGAGTGAGAACTATCAGAAGCAATGCATTTGGGAGCAGGATTTTGCAAGGTACATGCTACAGTGTGTGTTCCAGGACAGGAACTCTGCCAACATTTTCATCTAACAAACCTGCAAGGAGAAGCTTAGAGGCAGAAATCCACTGCTGGGGATAATTTGCTGTACCTCAGGTGTGGACATCAGAGTCCAAACCTAGTCTCCAGAAGGGGCAGAGGAAGGAGGCAGATGTGGGATGGTGCTTGCCTGCACAGGAGCCTGCTGGCAATTGGGTAGAACCACAAATCCACACTGTTTGAAGAGGCCTGGAGCCACAAAGCTGGAATTCAAGGGGCAGCATCAGCCCTGTCCTTCCCCCCACAGATGAGAGGAACACTCAACCCCAGGAGGTTTATGCTTTTAAGTGCTGCCAGATGTGATGGGGAAGGGGCTGCACAAGGCTGCTCCTGGCAGGTGTGTTCTCCCAACAACAGCGCTGGCTCAGCGATGCGAAGGGGCAAGGGCTGGAGAGCCTGAAAGGTGCCTGAAACCCTTTCATCTCAGCCCAGCTTGCTGACAGCATCTCCCATCTGTCACCAGGCAGACCAGCCCTCCGCTGCTATGCTGCTGCTGCTTCCCCTGCCAACAATATCCCGGAGGTGGGAGCATGAGGGGAGGGAGGCAGGTAAAAGAAGAAGGTGAAGACAGCGGCCACGCACACGAGGAGAAGGATTTAACAGGGAGAACAAATAGTCACAATTTCAGCTTTTCCAGCTTCCTCAACCCTCCACTTCCCCTTGACCCAGGACTGCTGCCAGCGTCCTGTGAAAGCAGCAATGGATTAGGACCACTCTCTATAGTAAGTCCTCCAAAATTTCTCACCAAGGGCTTATCCTAAAAACCTCCCACCATAGGAATACACCAGTGCAGTTAAATTCAGACTTGCTCTAACATCCCTTTTTCTAACCACAAATTCACCTTCTCAACCATCCCTGCAGCATGGAGCGTAAGCATCTTTGTATCTGAGGGCACATCACTGCTCTCAACACCGAACCCTGCACTAGGTGACAACATGCAGAATCTGGCAGTAGCCCTTGGGAGAAGGCTCTTCTCATCCTGTTCAGGATGCCCCACGCAGACAGATGCCCAAGTCAGCTCCAGCTGCTTCTAGGCCCCAGAGAGGTATGAAGGAGAGGAAGGACAGAAATCTACTTTCACCCCACAGGTTTGATAGCACCCTGCTCTTCCAATGGCTGACCCACCTCCTTGCATTGCACTTCCTCTGAGCATCCCTGTGCTGCATCAATATGGAGATGGAGCTTCCCCTCCTTCCTCAGGACAGAGAGAAGGGGGAAACAGTCCAGTTCCCAAATTCTGCTTCCAAACAAAACCAAGACAGATTCTTGAGTTTCAGAGGGTCAGTCCCACACATCAGCCCTCTGTCCCACAAGCACAACTCCCATAGGCTGCACACTGAGCAAAGCTTCTCTGGCCTCAGCTGCAGTTTCAGGGCTCAGACCATCCCCCTAGCATATGCTTTTCGGTCCCAGCGTGACTAATCACCAAAGGGCTGCACAGGAGCCACCTGGAAGGGAATTTGCATGCTGGCTCTCCAGGGGAGAATTCTTCAGGCTCCCACAGGGTTAGGCCATTAGCGCTGGTTCACAGCCCACACCATTATCCCCCTGAACTGCTGCATCCCGTCATGAGGTAAGGACACAGAATGAAATTCCACCCCTACAGGGAGCACTTCAGCCTATTTCATACTCCCCCAACATATAAAAATTGAGCTTCAAGCACAGGGGAGGAGGTGCAGGGGGAAGAGGGTGAAACACAAACTGCCCCATACAAAGGAGGACCTAATTCCCAGCCCAGCAGACAGCAACTGTTTGTCAGCCCAGACAACATTGGAGGGAGATAAATCCCCTTCTACAGGAGCTCTCCTTTAAAGGAGGAAAAATAAAACTTAAGAAAACTAAAGAAAAATAATAATACTTAAAAAAACCCAACAAACACCAAACCCCCTGCCCCCAGCAACCTAATGAATGAAGACTGATGATCATATGAAGCAGAATAACTACCAATGAGATCAGGGAAGAGATCCACATAAACTTATTGCCTGAACCTAATAATAGTCAGAAACAGATGCTTCAAAGGAAAACGCAGGAGATTCTGGGAGCATCTTTCAGATGGGGGCAGTCTTTTCCTAATCCCTTCTTCCTAACTCTGCCCTCCCAGTCCACAGTCGCTTCTCCCCGTTAAAAAGCAAACTGCCTACACAGAAACATTGCTGTGTTTCTTTCTATTTATTCTAAACACATCAGGCTTCAGTTCCACTGTACAGCCCTTTGCTCCAGGGTTGTTATTATTCAGCTCTTCTGTTGGTCATTTATTACTTCATATTTTGATGAGTTTTATTCCTGTGGAGTTAAAGCTGAGGACATACCACCAGCCCACAGTTAATGTTTAGTATTGTTGTAAATATATCCAAAGTGTTTGGAAATCTGAAGTTAAGAGGAAATTCAAAAGTTAAGAGGTCACACTTAGGACATTCAAACAACCTCCACTGTATTTTGTCTTGACATCATGGAGCAACTTATACAACTTAGTAAGTGACCAGCAGGTCAAAAGAGGTGATCCTGCCCCTCTGCTCTGCTCTCATGAGACCTCACTTGGAGTATTGTGTCCAGTTCTGGTGTCCTCAACATAAAAAGGACATGGAGCTGCTGGAGCAAGCCCAGAGGAGGCCACGAGGATGATCAGGGGCTGGAGCACCTCCCGTATGAAGACAGGCTGAGAAAGTTGGGGCTGTTCAGCCTGGAAAAGAGAAGGCTGCGTGGAGACCTCAGAGCAGCTTCCATTATCTGAAGGGGGCTACAAGGATGCTGGGGAGGGACTCTTTGTCAGGGACTGTAGTGGTAGGACAAGGGGTGACGGGTTTAAACTAAAACAGGGGAAGTTTAGATTAGATCTAAGGAAGAAGTTCTTCACAGTGAGGGTGCTGAGGCACTGGAATGGGTTGCCCAAGGAAGTTGTCAATGCTCCAACTCTGGCAGTGTTCAAGGCCAGGTTGGACAGAGCCTTGGGTGACATAGTTTAGTGTGTGGTGTCCCTGCTCATGGCAGGGGGGGGGGGTGGTAATAACTTGTCTTCCTCTCTCCCCCTCTCCATTCTATGATTCTAACTCATACAACTCATTTTAAAATCACACTACCACAGTCAGAGGAGTACATGGCAATATAAATGAAGCAGTAGGAACTCCATTACTTGCCAGAGATGGAGCAAGACCTCTCTGGACAAGCTGGATTTACATCTAGAAGACTGGAAACAGAACCACTGTATTCTCTTTCCAGCTCAATATTGATGCTTACATGACCATGGGACAGTTCTGTCTCTTTAGCTCCACTTCCCCAGCCTGTAAAGGTTATTTATTACTTCCTAAGGAAGCAGCAAGTCCTTCATAGGCGCTGCTTCCACTGATGAGGTGATCACAGATTGCACTAACATGCTTTCACCACTAATCATGGCAGGATTAGATAATGCAACAGTGAACACAGTGAAACTTTGTGCCCCCCTTCCCTGTTCAATTCCAGCTTGGTCTCTCCCTATCTGTGCAATATTTTCCTAAAACAGACGAGGAAAGGTAAGCCCTAGGATAGACTGGAAGACAGACAAATGCCCAGACAGAAAGGGACTAACCCACCTCCCCCAGGCAGAGCAGAGGCAGGATGGGGAACAAGCCCAAGGAAGGGGAGCTGGTGGGAAGAGCTAGGCTGGGCAGTGACAGCCAAAGCGAGCACACCTGCCAACTGACAGCGAGCAACACAAAAAGGCCTTTGAACTTCCAACCATTTCCCTGAGCTCATCCCTCTGCATGGTCACGCTGGACATCATCCAAGGCTTCAGCAAAGCTACGTCTATGGTAAGCCTGCTATTCCTCCCCCTCTCCCAACTCCTATTACACAGGCCGCTCTTTTATGGCTGAGCAGAAGGGGAAGGGGGAGGGCGGGGGAAAAGGGAAGTTTATAAGGTGAAACGCAGCCTGAATCACGTCCCACTGTCCTTTGAACACTTGATTCCTGTTGCCTGTGGTGAGCAGGTTGCTTTATACCCAAGGACAGCAAGTGACTGGTGTTCAGAGCTCCGGAGCGCAGCGGTTTGAACACTGCTGCTTAATGACACAAACTCTCGGTCATGTGAAGAATGAGAAGTTAATTTAAAAAATAAATGTAAGCTCCAAAAAAACCCAACCCATGCTACCCACATGAAAGCCAAGTGCAGCCTGCCCTCCAGCTACGGCCACACTCGTGCGTGTGGAGTCCGCTCTTGGGAAAAAATGGGAGACGCTGCATTTTATTAACTACCTTTTGGAAAATCTAGTTCCAGAATAACATAAAATGTTCCCAATTTCACTGCTGAAGTGTATTTAACAATGCTGCTGGTCCAAAGAAAAAGAAGGGGAAAACCAATTTAAACTAGCATCAGCACCCAATCTTTCACAGCCCTTTGATCACAAGCACGCTCTCTGCCCGAGGGGGCATTGCATTAATTCTGGTGCCTTTTAAAGGAAACACACATTCTCCAAGGCCAATAAAACGGTGAAGCATGGTTGCAGATATGGAACTGGTGTCTTTTCAAGAGAAACTTGAACTCTTGTCAAGAGTAAATTAGTAAAACTTGGAGTTTAAAAGCGAAGCTTTACCTGAGCTCTTATGTCTGAGCTCAAGACTGGTGATTTGGTGAGAGGCAGAGGGAAGAGGATTCTTTTAAAGTTTCTGTTAATTTTAGTAAAAGACCTGTGAGATTCTTATCCTCACATCAACTGAAAATGTTTTGTTGTGGGACTGATAAGCAGGCTATACTGATAGTCCTGTTCCTGGCAAGGAAGAGATCCACTCCTGGGCTTGAATGAGCTGTAGCTCAAGAAGAACTGCCTAAATTTCCCAATGAGATAGGAACAACAGACCGCTTTCTGTAAGCTTTAAGGTAAAAGGAGTAAATTCTCCTTCAGTCCCTTTAAATGAAAAAGTATTGTACAACATAGCATGGACCTAAGCAAGCAAATCTGTCTCATGGAGTTGCATGTGTACATTGGGTATGATACAGATCCAACATTCAGGGTCAGAAGGCTCTACTGGGGGATTGTTCTGACGGGATTTGGCATATCTTAGGAGAAACAGAGCTATTTATCAGTCCTCAGGCCAAGTTTACTCAGTTGTCCTTTCACCCTTGCCACAGGAAGTAAGGCTCATTCACACCACGCTGGACTTCAAAGCACATGCAGGAGGGCAGAATGAAAACCATTCCTCCGCTTGCATGCGGCTTTCGTTAGGGACAGTCCAAAGTAGTCTCTGTTGGCACAAGGCAGGAAGGCAGCTGAGCTACTCTGTGCTTGTGTAGGAAGGGCTTCCAAGGCAGACAGTGTCAGCAGGCCAGAGGGCTGACACCAAAGAAAGTCTATGAAGCTGGCATGACAGCTGGGAGGTTGCTTATTACTATTATTACTACAGCTCTCTGGCTTCTAAACATGATCCAGAGCAGGAAGCAAACATGGCACTGAATTATTGGCTCCCATCACAGCAGGACTTCAGATCTGCAAGAAAACCAGTTCCTGCCACAGCCGGGTAAGCAGAAGCAGGGCTCTCCCCAAAACAACAGGAAAATACCTGCGAGAGGCAGACATTCCAAGGACACCAATACAAGGAGAGAATGTCTGGAGTGTGCAGAAAGAGTAACAGTTGAGGAGAAACTTGGTGCAATTGACTCAAAAAGCAGGAATTTGTTTTATAGTTTGTAATAGAACATAAAGTAATTAAAAAAAAACCACATATTTTAAGAATTTCTCTGAAAACTGAAAATCTCTCTCAAAAGGAATGTTTCCTGTGTCTGCTCTTGTTTTTCATAGCTGCAGCTCCTCACTGCCAAGAATCTTGTCCTTTTATTTCTTTTCTTCTCACACAGTGCATTTCAAGCTGTCTTTCTTTAACAGAAGTGGTAGATTACATGTTCAAAGCTAGAAAACTGCATTAATGTAGGATTTGGTAAACTCCAATCAACTTCTCAAGCATGTGCAGTGATATACACACAGACACAAGATTGAATCTTGACCGGCTAAAGCAGTTTTCAGCGTTCTTCGCACCCACTGTTTCACTCTTGCTTTCTCAGGAGTCCAGCAGTCCAGTGTGATCCCATTCTCCTCACCCTTTCCCAAGGAAGCAGACAGAACTCTCCCAGGAACTCATTCTTCTTGTTGTATTGGCTTCCATTATGCATATGAGCTGATACACTGAAGAAAAAGTAAACCTTAAAACAAGAATGGTTGCAGCTTTATTTCTCTGGAAAGTCAGGACATTCACAGCAGAGAGAAGGAAATCTCATAACTGAAAAAAACTAGCTTGCAGCAGACCAATGGAAATGTGGGATTCCTTGCAATCATTTCTGTTCACTCTTCTGATCAGAGACATCTTGAGGATATTATAATTCCTGCCTTTTAAACTCAGAGCTGTACTTCCATACATTGCTGAAAAAGAATCTCAACAGCTTTAGCATCTCAAAAGAGTCCATATAAGTGGATGCACAGACTTAGGTTCATGAGTCAGAACAAACCACTGGGCTCACCCCAGCATGAAGACTCGCCCAATGGTTTTTAAGGAGTCTCACTAATTTTTAAACTAGGCCTTTAATATATCTGGGGCTTGTTGGATGACTTCATCAAGACAACCCGAATGTACAGCTCAATGTTGTATTAGAAAGATATTCACCAATTCAGATCTGGTAAAGTCAATTAATACAAAATAAATCAGTTTCAAACCAGAAGTTGTTCTGAATTTGACTTCAACTAGAACCCTGCATGTATGTCACAGACAGATGGCCAGGGAAGGAAAGAATTTCCAAGTACTATGTGCAAACATCAGTGCTGATTTGTGAGAAGCTTAAACTGATTTAAAGTTGGAGTTGCTGTTCCAAGGGGCTCAAACCTCACTCCTGCTGCTTCCTTCATGCTTGGCACAGTCAGCAAACAGATGAAACGGGGAGTTAACCCCACAAATGAGTACACCTGTACGCCAAGCAAAAGAGAGGGATTTAGCAAGTGATCTGCTCTAGCAAGAAGTTTCAGTGCCATAACAAGATAGGAAGCAGCACAAACTACCACAAACCTACACTGTAGAGTCGATCTAGTTCTCACAAGCTAACAATAATATCACGTATCACTCGTAATGAGCAGCTACTCAGAGCAAGATGCAGCAGGCTTAAAGGAGTTAAGTGTTCCTAAGGCCCCTCCACTGCAACCTCATGTTTGTGTGCTGAAGCCATGCACTTAACATTTCTATAGAGTCCTTAGCCCCAGTGCCTAACTTTTATTTCTGCCTTTTTCTTTCCACTAAATTCCACTCGGAATACTTCTGTCTGTCAGCTGAAAAAGTTCTCCTCTTTGTATTTATTCTACTACAAGGCAATATTTAAAAAGGCAGCTCATATTCTATTCCATCCTCTTGAGTCACTTTTCTACTCTGTATAAATGCAGCTCTTTATCTCCCCTCCCATCTTGTCAACTCTACTGTCCCTCTCTGTACACTCTAGCTTACTTCTCTCACTAAATTGCACAGACCTACAGCACAAGTCGTACTCTTAATGAGATGTTTAAACATTCTCATCTTATACATGCTGTTTCCTAGACAGCTCCCTTTGCTTCAGTCTTACTGCTCCCTTTGCTTTGTTAGAAACCATAAATTAAAGAAGGCACAAATCAAACCCAGTTCCTACATTCTTTACCTCTACTTTACATACTTCCCAGCCTCCAGTGCCTGAAAGTATCAGCAGATTGATCACAGTCCACTACTACCTCCTAGTTTGTACAGCTTCCATTCAAATCCATATAGACCAGATTTCCTTAATATATTAGTGATACGCCATAACCAGAGCTGTAGGACCAAAAGGCTCCTCTCATCCAGGCCATGGAGAGAGACACGATGCAACAGCAGACACCACCAGAGGTGTGTAAGAACATAGCATGCAAGTAAATGTTCTTCCACAGAAGTCAAAATCTGCCTCTATTTGTGATATAAAGACTTCCCGAACAAGAGGAGGCACATTCATCTTTCACAGCCCTCAGCACATTTTCCATCCATAAACTTGTCAGGTTGCTTTCTGAGAATGTCTGAAATTCCAGAATGAATGTTTTATGGCAAGGAGATCCACACCTTAAGTGTATGTGGTATGAACAAGCAACTCTTGGTAGCTTTGAGCCATCGCTGGTTCTCACCTAGCTGGCCTCAGCTACACAGATGCTGACACTATGCAGATACACAGGAGCTGCAAAGTAAATTCTCTCAGCAGATCCCAAGATCAGTGAATGCTGATGACCCTGTTTACTTTTCCCTTCCATCACAGGGCAGCCAGGACAGACACTCTCAATATTCTTCACACTGCTTATTTATTTTCCATTAATATTTATAGCAAACCCACGTAATTTAGTTCACTGATAGCCCTTTTGCAAGGGTGGGAAGAAGACAGGTACTTCTCTCTGTCCCTCCCCTCCCTCTAAAACATTCATGTCCAACAGCTGTCTAAAACCAGTTGCAGAAGGCAGAGTTGGGCTTTCACTGTGCTTTATGTCAGTGGACACTGGCTCTGCTAGACTCTGAGTCCTGAAGTCAGTCAAAAGTATGTCAGCTACAGGCTTAAGCATTTTTCATGCAAAAACTAGGACATGCCTGTAAAACAGAGAAGCACCTGCAAAGAAGCTAAAACAGTTTTCACAAGCACAAGTCAAGAATGGTATTCTTACTGCAGCCATCTTCATCACTGTGGTCCCCACAGTCATTGTCTCCATCACATTGCCACTGAGCAGGGATGCATGTGCATTCACCAAAAGCACTGACAGCACATGTAAAATGATTCCGGCCACAGGAGCATTCGGTGCTACTTGTAACACCTGGAAAGGAACAGAGAATAAAAGGTATTTTTAAGAGATCCATCTATTTTAGGGTAAATGCATTAAATACAAAGTTGACATCACAGTTTTCCTCCACGTACACACCATGTGTATGAACATGTACTCTATTGTAAAGGAAAACATTCACCCTCCTTGCACTGTTGAAACAGGACATCAAGTACTATGTACAGTTTCCTGGAATAGGGCAATTTGAAGGCGACAGCAAATAGCAACCTGCCAAAAACAGACTTGGGAATCAGCTGAAAAATAACTCAGCACTAGTTACAATCAAACTCAAGCAACCTCAGGTATCAGAACAGCCTTTTTATTTTACAAACTCCTGCAGCATGGTGCTGCTGCTGCTCCGCTTAGTTCTGACACCACAACAGAGGGATAGCAAAGATTCTGCTTCAGAGTTGTCTGGGGTCTTCTCCAGAGCCTGAACTTTTTAAAAGCAAACCTTTTACATGTCTCTGCTTTAGACAATTCCAACACTAGTGAAAGAACAATCAAAATAAAAATCTTATTTATCTGTAGAGATTTAACTGTGACATTATCCTGTGTGTAACTGACATTTATGAAAGCAAGAGAAGAGGATTTTCAACTCTACAAACTGACTAAAAGAAAATGCAGTCCAAATGTCAATATATAATCCGATAAGACCATTTTTTCCAGCCTTAAAGGTAGCTTAAGGAGCTCCCAACCCTTTCCTCCCCTCTCCCAGCTACAGAACAACACTCTGCACAGCTCTTGACACTCACCCCTGTGCAAATGCAACTGTGGTATTATCCCACACATCCTCTTAATAAATCTCTGCATTGAGAGAGAACAGGCTACAGCCCACCTCTCGAAAGGAAAAGGTCATGCCTGAACTTCTGTCTGACATTATCTGACAATTTATGTAATCAATATCACTGTTAAACAAATTATTACTCAATCGAAAACCCCCTCGGGCTTGTCTGGGACTGAATTCTTTTTGCATGGTGCCTTCTTTCTGCAATTCAAACAAACCCAAAGCTCTCAGATAAAACAGGAGATCATAAGGAGTACAGAGGGATACCAGCCCCATGTGGTACTTCTATAATACCTGAACTATTTGCACATTTTCTTAACTCAATCGTAACACTTAGTGTATCCATGATGAACCATGAACTGCAGCAACCTGAACACACACAAAGAGGAAAAAAAGCCTCATAATTTCCTTAGTTTCCATTCTAACTGGGAAAAGCAGCACCTGCAACACTGCATGTAATTATTCCTCAACAGTCTCAACAAGCAGAATGCCCCCCAGAGAAGACATCCACTTGTTCAAGTTAAGCCAAGATTTAAGTTTAGAAGGGATACACTTCTTGCTTGAGGAAGAATGCCATTCTAAGATTCTTCTGCATCAAAACTGGCCAAGGATTACTGTATTTGCCAGAGAAAGTGGTCAATACCTGGTGTAACAAAGGACAGAGGCAGGAAGAATGTAAGGTGAACAAGGAACAGAAAGAAGGAACAGCAAATAAAAGAGGGCAGAGTGGTCAGATCCTCAAAGGACTTACTGGGGATAGCCAGGACAAAGGCTGACTCAAAAAGACAGCAAGTGGCTGATGTAGAGTCAGAATGCAAAAAAAGCAGCACAGACATCCCTAAGGAAGAGCAATGCATCATCTATGCAACATATCTAACTGTTACACACAGACACGAGGAAATTCAGAATAACCACAAACCTCCCCAAAAATCAGACAGGTTCCTTCAAACCGGCAGCACAGGAAAATCAGGACAAACCACCTTCTGCTGTTACCTACCACTATTTAGAAAGGCAGAACTGACTGTATAGTGTATCCAAGATAGCTGCTGTTTAAATCCCCTTCTCCAAAGCAATTTTTCTACCAATGTCCACAACATTATCCCAAAGCACTTACCCCAGCTACTTTAAGCTCCAACACTCCTTCCCATTATAGTAAACCAAGACTATCATCATCCTTATTACCCCAAGAAAAAGACATATCCAAAGCTATCAGTAACTGGCTCTATGTTGCCCAGGCTCCACCATGACCTAGGGTAGGTTCACTAACAGGAATGGATCAAACATCAAGGCAACCAATTCTTAAACTAGGGGAATATATTTCATGATTTATTCCCAGCTTAACAAAGTTGGAGGGAAAAAGTAAGTGGGAGTTATTTTAGCTCCTGAATAGCAGCACGAAGGTATAGTTCTGCAACAGCAGAGAAAGAATCAGTGCAGCTGTCCTAATCTGCAAACTGGAATTTAATCTGCTGTATTGTCAAACGTACTGTTATCTTCAAATGTTGCTACTGATATCGGGTGATAGATATACACACAGATGTATTAAATCAATTCTTCCTACTTCATTAAAGTTGCTATGTTCAATCATCTCCATCTCTGGTTTGTGTTTTACCATCATACTGAAGCTGCTGGGAGCTGAAGGATGATACGTTGTGACCCAGATACCAACACTCTCCCATATGCACCAGCCTGTATCTGTAGTACTATTATGTAAGCACACTTTGCTTAAGTAGTCCGAATTACAACCTTTTGTGACTCTGATGCTTTGTGATTTGTGACCTTTAGGGTAACTAACCTTCTAGTCATTATAATGTTATATTTTATAAAACACAATCTACCCTAGTCTCATACTTGGACATGTAAAGCACATTATGGCTTGGAGAGCACACTAATTCCAACCTATGAACAGTATCAGCACCACCAATCCTGGATGACTAGGCTTTACCCAGTAAGACAAACAGGTTGAATGAAACCTGGGACCCCTTATAGACAGCAGGGATTCTCCCAAGGATTTCAATGTGGACATATTCCACCCTCGGTGTCCCATGATTATTTCTCAGTGCTCAGAGCTCAAATGATATTACCCTGTAACTGTATCTCTAACAGTAGAGCGACAGGAAGGAATAAGATGAGAATCATGTTTTCTCCAACCCCCCTCAAGCAGAAGCAGTGCTCTTGGTGTGAGAAGTCTCAATGGAAGATTACTCTTTAATGGGGAGCTCTCATTAAAAACAAGGAGTGTGAGACAGAAGACTAACCAAGTGTGCAAATAAACCTCCAGTGTCACATTTTGGTCCCAGTTAGTCAGGGATACAGGAACAGGATGGAAATCAGCACTTGCTGTTAACCGCACCAGCAGTCAAAGCAGACTTATCTACTTACACTTCTGCACGTTCTTCTGGAGCAGGAACAATGAGAGCTACCTCTGGGCTTAGCCATGACAAGCAGTTTTCATCACACTGCAGGCTTGGGTGTTTTACCAACCTTCTATATTCAAAAATCATTTCATATATGCAGAACATAACATTTTAACAATGTAATATATATGAAACAATACACAAAAGCTGAATAGTCATTGCCAGCCTGAGCTGACTTCACTCAACTTTCCTGGCCTCTCCTGGTACCTCATGTAACCACCAAACAAGTTTCCTACTCTCTCTTGCTCATGAGTACAAGCAACCAAAAAAGCATCTTCACAGTCTGTAGTTAGTTCCATCCAGATGCAATAGCAGCAGGATCCAATATCCAAACAGTTTTCATAGCAAAGTATTATACAAACAGCCTCTGGATTTTAAAAACAGGAAGTCAGTCTAAACACAGGCCTCATACTTAACATCTGCCATCACCTTAAATTTAGCATGCTATGCTCTGTTTCATCAGATTCCTTCCAAATACCCTCCCCATGTTTATCTGAGAAAGGAAACGTCTCCTGAGCCAGGGTGGGTTCCCCCTCCCTCCATTAAAAGATAGTTAGGATCTCTGTAATTTTATGTCTAAAGTTGGCAAAACAGTTATGTCATTTCTGGCTGAGAAGCCAAAGTCAATAATCACCCTGTCATTTCTGTGCATCGTTTTTTTTGAGGGGCTTATGCTGTCACATAAGAGCCCTGTATTTGCCACAGATTCACAGAAACATTGCCATTACAAAGGAAGCTTATTAAATAGACAGGATAATTACCCAAACTGAACTCTGCAGCCTTTGTTTTGTCAGGGACAGCAGATTCCTAGGGAAGAGTGAAAACTCTATTGCTTTTAAATCCTGATGACAGGCTTTATTCCGAAAGAAAAGATGCTAATTCTGTTTTTCAGAAATGACAGATGGCAGCTTTTATCACTATTCTGTAGCAATTCAACCTTTTCCAGGCTGTTCTTTCAACATGGAATCATAGAACAGCCCAGATTGGAAAGAACTTCACTCAAAACATCACCTGGTCTAACCTTTCATGGGAAAGGGAGCCTAGATGAGATGATCTAGCACCCTGCCCAGTCACATCTTGAGAACCTCCAGCAATGGGGACTCCACCATGTACCTGGGGAGGTTGTTCTGCTGAATGATGCAAAAAATGTCTTTCTTCTGTTGACATGAAGATGTTCCTGCTCTTCAGGGTACATCAGCTCTGTCAGGCCCTGGCAGCGTTCTAGCAATAGCAGGATTTTCTCACAGTTCCACAACATAGCTGAAGTCTTGTCAAACGGATGTTGACTAAGAATACTGCAGGAACAACTGCCTGTCATGAACATCTGTGGTCAACCCCATGGTGCCCTGCCACGTTTTTCTCCTTTCCAGGTATCAAGATCTGACCACGTAAGAGACTCTTTGGCTCCACACCACCCTGGTAGTTGCATCTTTTCCCCCTTTATCCTAACACAAAAATTCCTACTGTTATTTTCTAAAGCAGTGGTATTAAATCCACAGCCATCAGTTTGCTTGTGCCATCCTACAACTCCACGTGTGCCTGTAACACAGGGTAGCATAGCTCACCATGGCTAAGTATCCATTTAATTCAAGGAAAACAGCACCGATGGATTTAAAATCCCAGAACTACGGAAATATTTGGCATGATTTACAGTTACAGACTGTTCAGCTCAGGAGCAGAAGCCTCTGGAAAAAACAATCATTCCTTTGGTCCAGGATTGAGTCACACCTAGATCAGGATTCCTCTCCCTCCTTGGACAGGCACCTAACTCTGCATTTCATGGCCTACAGAAGACCTTTAGTGGGAGTCAGAGATCTTTCCGAAACCTTGCTA